TAACATTTTGTCATGTCAAGAACCAGAAGTACAATGGTTACTGTTTATATTTTTAAGTAGCCTCCCATATTTGACTTTAAGTGTTCCTAACTATTTATATGTTTTTCAGTATCTATGGCTTATATGTAGAATTTGACATGAGAGCCCTAAGTATTTATGATTGCTTATAGTAGCATTGATAACATTAGAAGTGGATAAAATTAGTTAACTGCCTTGTCACTGGGGCAAGTATTCAGTTTTACTGGCATCAAGCAGCCTATGAAACCACTGGGTTTCAAAACTCCACCTTCTTTGCTGGGTGCAGCATCTGTTCTGCTGTGTAAGACACCAGAATCAACAGAGGCCATCACATGTTCTAGAGAGACAGATTCACGGCGGAGTTTTGAGAGGGAAATCACACCCACAGCCAAACATCACCATAGCCATCACCAGATAATTGCCTTTGACATGTGAAAATGCACCCTATGACACACTTTATTATTTGTAATTATTTTAACTTTAGTAATGATTGCATCCAGGAATAAAACCAGCCATGACCTAGTCTGCATTTTCAGCACAAGTGTAGAGCAGGAAGTAAACAAATTTAACACTGATTGATGGTGACATGACATGAAAGGGCAAAGAGAAATTCTTGAGAAGTGGTGGTAGTTAGAAGTCATAGTATTAGACAATTCTTTGTATATTTTGTAAAATAAGTTTAAAATATCTTTAAAATAGTCTTCAGTGCAGAAAATAATAGGAAACACAATTCTGAAACTTTGTAAAATCTTAGGAAACATCTTGGTGACTGACAAAAGTGATCTCTTTAAACTGTATGGACTGCAACTAAATTTTTATAATCTTGTTGAAGGGGAAAATGTGTTACATGCTAAAATTATACCCAAATAGGGTGTCTAGCCTTGCAAGATAGTAAAAGAAAGTAGAAGACTATAAATGGATGTGATGGTCTTTTGTGCAAATAAGAGTGTATGTTAAAATACCCTATGCCAAAAGCAATAATTGTTATTTGTAAAATCATTAAATTGGCCATCAGAGACCACATGGGTACATTACCATGCACATGAATCTCATTCTTGCCTGAAGCCACATTGCAAAAGACGCAAATTTGACATTTATCCATTTGATTCTTTTGTTTTGTTTTGTTTTTTGTTTGTTTGTTTTTTTGAGACAGAGTCTCACTCTGTCGCCCAGGCTGGAGTGCAGTGGCTCAATCTCGGCTCACTGCAAGCTCCACCTCCCGGGTTCATGCCATTCTCCTGCCTCAGCCTCCCAAGTAGCTGGGACTACAAGTACCCGCCAAAACGCCCAGCTAATTTTTTGTATTTTTTTTTTAGTAGAGACAGGGTTTCACTGTGTTAGCCAGGATAGTCTCAATCTCCTGACCTCATGATCCTCCCGCCTCGGCCTCCCAAAGTGCTGGGATTAGAGGAGTGAGCCACCGTGCCCAGCCTTATCCATTTGATTCTTAATTGTATCCTGTGCATGCATTTCATCATTTATTTTTCGTGTGTGTGTCTGTGTGTGTTTCACTTTTGGCATTAGTTGGATGACGCAATTGAAAGCTGAACAGAAGAGAACCAAGTCTGGAGGAGAAGGAAAATAGTTAAAGAACAGTATTAGCAGAGCTGAGCTAGCAAAGCCTGAGAACTTCACTTGAGAGTGTGGAAGTATGGGTAAGGGCTAGCATACTTGCACACTCCTTAATCTTGCCACTTTTACTTTTCCTGAAGTGAACTGCAGTCTCTATGAGAAGATGCACACTCTTGTGTCATCAAACGGAGGCAACTGAAAGGAAGCGAGACCTCATCTGTGACCTTCTTTCCTTTACTTCACTTTTTCCTGATAACCAAAACCAGGAATGACATTGTTCTGTTCATGACTCCTAAATCCTGTCATATTTAACTATTTGTTCTCCAAGTTTTGTATGAGTTCTTATTTTGCTTTTCCAAGAGAGGTATGTCAGATAAAGATTATACTTGCTACCTTCACACTTTGTCTTTATCCAGCATAGCTGGAAGACCTTTAAAAAGGCAAACTTCTAGCCTGAAAAAACAAGGAGTCTAAAGCCTTGGTTAAAGGTATTGGAAAAATATGTCCATTTGATTGTTAAGAAATAGACTGGTATGTCCAATCCATAGCAACACACATCTAAAAAATATACTTTAAACAAAATTAAATCATAGATGCTATTTAAATTATAATATCTGTACAATTTTTAATGGATATATCTTTTGTTTTTTTTGAGAGAGGGTCTGGCTCTGTCATCAAGGTTGAACCAAATGGTTCACCAAATGCAGTGATCTGGGCTCACTGCAGCCTCGACTTCCAGCAATCCTCCCACCTCAGCCTCCTGAGTTGCTGGGGACCACATATGTTCACGCCTGGCTAATTTTTGCACTTTGTGTAGAGACGGGGTTTTACCATGTTGCTCAGGCTGGTCTCAGACCCCTGAGCTCAAGTGATCCTCCTGCCCAGGGCTCCAAGGTGCTCCTCAGATGTACTTCTAAAATCAAATATCCCTCAAAGTATAGTCCCTGGTTGAATTTATACAGAATCACCTGAGGTATGATTTAAAAACTGATATTTCAACTTCTCACGTTAGATGTACTGACTCAGAATCTCTGAATTTATGGTCCTGGAGTCTAGTAAAGATTTCAGATGTTTTTCATTTTTTTGCAGAAAAATAGAAACAAACAAAGAAAAAGAAATCGATAACTGACTGGGCAGGGTGGCTGCTCACTCCTGTAATCCCAGCACTTTGGGAGGCTGACGCAGGCAGACCATTTGTGGTCAAGGGTTCAAGACCAGCCTGCCCAACATAGCTAAACCCTGTCTCTACAAAAAACATAAAAATTAGCCAGGCATGGTGGTAGGTGCCTATAATCCCAGCTACTCAGGAGGCTGAGGCATGAGAACTGCTTGAACCTGGGAGGCAGAGAATGCAGTGAGCCAAGATGGTGCTACTGTACTCCAGTGTGGGCAACAGAGTAAGACTCAGTCTCAAAAAAACAGAAAAACAAAACACAAAAAACAAAAAAACACAAAACTTGAAACTGTGAATGAAGGCTTTATTTTATGTGATTCCTCTACAGCCTGACCAAGACAACCACAAATTTTGGTCTTTGTTCATGTAGATATAAGTAAGAGACAATTAAGATACTTTTCTACTCCCTTCAAATGTGTGTTTGTCTATTTAAGTAAAACCAACATTAGTGTAAGGTTCGATTCTTCACTAGACAAATTTCAATCATGGGGGTCAAGGAAGACTCGGAGAAAGACATACTAAACACCTTCTTACTAGCTGCACCTGAGGGTCCTATCTATTTATCCATAATTTCCTCAGCATACTCTTAGTGTTCTCCTCCCCTATGGTTGGCTTTCATGAACTTAGGGTGTGGCTTACCTGGCTATGTCAAAAGTCAGAGAACTTCCATGTTTCAATTTGGAAGGTGAGCTCGATAATAAATTAGGTGTACATGGGCAGAGTGAAAAAAATTACTGGAATTTGACTGTTACTCTGACTTTACTAGAATGTTTCCCTTTTAAAAGTTGCTTTAAGCTGCAATTAAAATAAATAATAGAGAGACCTGCATAATCACAGAGGAAGTCTGTGATTATTCTAAAGGAAGAAAGCAATATAACTGCAAGTATTATTTTAACATATGCATAATAAGGTGGCCCTATATGTTTAAGCCCAAGCTTCCTTTTAATAACTGACTGTTCTCCTTTGTGGTTTAGTATAAAATGCATTTATTCATAGAAATTAATATGCTATGGAACCATATAAGAAGGACACACATTTTTTTTTTTAATACAGCGACCCTTGTGAACATCCAAAGGCTGTTTTTAAAAGCTCAGCATGCTTGTCCTTGTGATTTCACTTTCCAGAATATGCATTTCATGATATGACATGCAAAATTATAAATCAAATTAAGATACCTAAGAAAATGTTAGTGTACATAATATCTTTGCCTTCACCAAGACCACATATTTGCTTAACTTTAAAACTCCAAACAAACACTAGGAAAGGATCCCCTACAGCTTTTGGAAATGTTTTTAGTAATTCATAAATGAAAGTGACAACATTTAGAAGACAGTCTCTCTATTCAGACTTCATTATTTATTGACACATGCCTACTTGGGGTCACTATAGTTAGCTTCTTTACTCTTCATTAATATTAATTTTGTTTAACATATATAAAAAAAGATTTCCATTTGTAATTCTGGGCAATTTTAAAACAACTCATGTAAGCTTAGCCTAAAATTACTAAGTTTCCAGCCCAAGTAAAGCAGTGGTCCCCAACATTTTTGGCACCATGGACTGACTTCATGGAAGACAATTTTTCCATGGACCTGGAGGCAGCAGGTGATGGTTTAAGGATAAAATTATTACACTCAGATCCCAGCATTAGATTCTCATAAGGAGTACGCTACCTAGATATCTCGCATGCATAGTTCACTATAAGGTTGGCGCTGCTATTAGAATTTAATGCTGCCACTGATCTGACCTGAGGAAGAGCAGTAGTGTTCCCTGGCCTGCCACTCGCTTCCTGCTGTGTGGCTCAGTTCCTAACGGGCCACTGACATGTACTGGTCTGAGGCTTGGGGGTTGGGGACCCTTGAAGTAAAGGATTGTCATGGCTAAAACCTACAGATAGGGCCAGCTACATAATTTGTGAAACTTCATGCAAAATGAAAATTCAGGGAAATTTGTTCAAAAATTATGAAGAGTTTCAGATAGTGATGGCAGAAAAGCCCTTCTAAGAGTAGGACTGCACCACTGTACAGCTTGCACGCCCCTGAAACTGGCTCTTCTTATAGAACCTTGTGAACAAAATGACCCTGATTTTCTAATTTGCTGAGAAACACATCAGTGCCAATTCATTCGACTGGCCTTGCAGGTTTAAGTTATGTGAAGAAATACACATGTAAGATGATGTACTTGAAAAATACTCATAATAGGATAGCTGCAGATGGTTGTCATTGCAATTTGTTAACAGGCAGATCTCAAAATTGCAGAAATTGCAGATCTCAAAAAAAGAAAAAAAAAAAAGAAAGAAAGAAAAAGAAAAGAAAAACAGACGCCTCAGGAAACAAAGCGTATGGAACTGAAGTAAGGTAGGACACCCCTTGCCGTCCTGAGGCCTCTTCCCTCCTGCTAAAGGGAGCACCCCTCTTGGTGGGCTTGGGCCTGTTCACACCTGGAACCTATGTATAAGAATCGGGGAAAGGGTGGGAAATTGCAAAACAACTATATAGGCTTTGTGCAAAGAGGATTCGAGCCTTCTGATGTACCTTTGAGTAGAGCGAGTGCATCTAGATACTCTGACTGTGTTTAGCTGGGTGCTTATGGAGATCCTATGTTTTCGAAGGTGAAAGTGCAATTGGGTAGGAGACAGTGGAGATGTCAGAGCAAAGGAACAGCAGTCAGTTGTTGTCCTTTCCAATAGGAGTGTGCTTGGGTCTTTTTTCTCTGGGCTTTCTTACCTGCAAGGGGACTAACTTCCTGATGGAGCTCAGGGGAATGTAAAGCTTTGTTACACGTTGTGTCTTATCAATGCCTCCTGTCTTTCTGTAACAGGATCCTGGCTGCGGAAAGAGAACCCTTGTGCAAAAAGAGCACTGGAAAAGACAGGAGAGGCCAGAGCAGTCATATCAAAGTTAAAAAGACTGAGTCAAGAGGGTCCGGGCAAATCACGGGGAAAGAAAGAGGGTTAAGTCGCAAGTATATTTTGAATAAATCACTCAATGTGGGTGTGCAAGGCTTATTAGAAAAACAAACGCCTGGCGGGGCGTGGTGACTCACGCTTGTAGTCCCAACACTTTGGGAGGCCTAGGCGGGAAAATCACGAGGTTAGGAGATCGAGACCATCCTGGCCAACACAGTGAAACCCGGCCCTACTAAAAATACAAAAGTGCGTAGTGGTGATGCCAGCCTGTAGTCCCAGCTACTCCGGAGGCTGAGGCAGGAGAATCGCTCGATTTCGGGAGACGGAGGTTGCAGTGAGCCGAGATCGGACCACTAAACTACAGCTTGGAGACAAGAGTGAGACTCCGTGCCAAAAAAAAAAAAGAAAAAAAAAAAAAGGAAAAACAGACGCCTCAAGAAACAAACCAAGTGGAATTAAAGGAAGGTAGGACGCCCCTTGTGGTCCTGAGGCCTCTTCCGTCCTGCTAATGGGGGCACCCCTCTTGGGGGGCTTGGGCCTGCTCACACCTGGACGGAGGGGGAAGGTAGGAGGGGCAAGAAGCGGTTGGTGCGCACAGGGACGCGCCTGCGTGGGGGCTTCCCCAGGGCTCTCCGGCGTGCGTGGAGAGACGCTAGACACCACCCTCCCGCGGAGTGTCCAGGTTCTCAGTCCCAGAGACCCGCCCAAGGGCACTGCGCCCAGCCCCCTTGTCACTCACACGCCTTCCAGCCAATGGCGCGGCCGCCTGTCTTCCTTACCCCACCCCTGGAGGGCAAGCCGGGAGCGAGGTGGGCTGGGAGTGCCTGGATGGATTTTGAAGAATCAAACTTTCCGGCGTAGTAGCTGCGGCTGCCTGGTCCCCAGCAGTGCGGCCCTGGCGCGGAACAGGGAGCATCGACCCGCCCCCTCGCCCCGGATCCGCAGCCATGGTGCCGGGGATGCCTGGCGCGGTCCTGACCCTCTGCCTCTGGCTAGCGGCCTCCAAGGGCTGCCTGGCGGCCAGCCCTAGCGCAACTGCTGCGAGGCGGCTGGACTAGTCGCTATTTGTCGGGAGCGTCTTGCGCGCCCGCTGCGCCTCCAGGTGCGTAAGCTTGCAGATCATGCTCATCTCTGCCTTCTTTCGGACTTCCAGGTACGTGGAGACTGCAGCCCGCCCCAGATTCTTTCTGGGGCTGCCGCCGCGGCGATTGTGCACCCGGGCGCGCGGCGACCAGCCTAAGCGCGTCAAGTTTTCCGCCAGCGCAGCGGGCTGATCCTGGCTTCCCCTGGGCGTGGATCTTACAGTCGGGGTGCTTAAACCCTGTTTTGCAGCCTCCTCCCGGCTCCCGAAATGAAAAAGAAGCCCTAGGCGTCTTGCGCCAACTGCGTCCTTCCCAGAAGGAAAACAAAGGCGATTTCCTTGAGGAGGGAGAGTAGTGAATGCCAAGGGTGGGTGTGTGGATGTGGCGGTTTCCCGGGAATTGAGTGCGCGAGACTCCGGGCGGTTGGCAACTCCCGCGAAGTCCCAGGCGCCCAGGGGCACTGGAAGGGAGTCTGGGAGGCGCCCCCGGCTGCGCCCGGGGACCATGCCTCGAGCCCCAGCTCCGCAGGTGCCCGCGGGCCGACACTTTTTCACTTTTGAACGATGATTTTCACCCTCCGCGGGCCGAGAGCTCGCTACCGAACCTTGGATTCCCTAATCAGGGCACTTGTGCCAAGTCGTGTTCCAGGGTGCGTGTATGCGCGTGTTGGAGGGTGCAGGTGGCTGTGCGCGCCTCAGTTCGGAGTCCCTGAAGATTCAAGGTCTTGTACAGTAGCGTAGAGCGTCAGAGAAGTGCCGGGGACAGGGGATTCGGCGGGACGGTGTTTGGAAACTCCAGGGACGTGTTCCGAGGTTACTGTCCCCCAAACCCATACTTAGGTTCTTTCAACATGCGAGTAGAGGAGTGTGTGTGTGTGTGTGTGTGTGTGTGTGTGTGTGTACGCGCGCGCGCGCGCGCTCATGTGTATGGGAGTGTGCAGGAACCGCGTGCTTTGCTCCTGAGGGTTGCCCGGACCCTGCACCGTGGTTCGGATTCCCTGCCGGACTTTAGCGGAGGCTCCTGGTGCGGTGGGCGCAGAGTGCGGCTGCTACCTCTTTCAGCCCTGTGGAGCGCGCGAGTTCTGAAACCCTTCATTTATTTTTCACCTCTCTCAGCTTCTCCTCTCCTTCTTACTCTGTACCTAGGTGCCCACCTGTTCCAAGTTTCCAACTTCTCGCCTCAGGGAAATTCTAGGGGGACCAAAAGGAGAGGTGGGTGCTTGGCGGGAGGCTGACTTCCTGGCTGGGCGGGAACAGGAAAGCCAGCCCTTGGCTCTTAAAACTGGGGTCTTCTCCTGCCGAGGAGGGGAGGGCGTCAAGAGGAGGCCCTGGAAATTAAGCTGCCAGAGAAGGCGATATTATAAGGGTGGAGTGTGGAAGTAATTCCCCTTAACCCTCGGGGATGATCTTGAACCTGCTGGCAAAGCCGGCGCGTGCTCGAATGTGCCGTTGTGTTTGTTCCAAATCATAGAAAGAGTATCTCCTGGGAGTCAGAGAAATGGGCACACTCTGCAGTCCTCCTGGGTCTTCAGGGAATGGAAGACCCAGTGCTCACCTCCTGCGGTGAAATTACCCAGACACCCTGGACAGAGCCAGGAGAGAGCCCGGTCCCCAGCCACCTGGTTTCCAACCCTCCGTGCCCTACCATGAAAGTCACTCTCCTGAGAAGATGCCACATTGTTGTTTGAAACAACAGAAAACAAACAAAACAGGGCAGCCTATTCCCGGAGAATAGGCTTTTTTTTTTTCTTTTAAATTGTCAGTGCTGTAATTTATTTGTTTTACAGTTTTAGTGGCTAAAGCAGCAGTTTAGATGAAGCCAGTTCCCCGAGAAAGACTTTTATTGTGGTTTCCTTGGCATGATTTCTCTTCGGAAGAAAAACTGCTGACGGAATGTACATTGTTAGACAATCCTGATTACATTTTAATTAGCTGGGGGTGAAATAAGCTGCAAATTAGTTAGGACTCAATAAGTGCTTTGTCATCAATTGCAAAGCCATTCTGGGAGCTTTAACCCTAACCTGGTAATGCCTAAATTGACTTATCTAAATGGCAGGGATTAAGCTTTCTTAAGATGTAAAAGACAGCAACACACTCTCCTTACAAAACCCCAAGCTTCTCTGTTCACCACAACTTGGCTTATTTATTTATTTATTTATTAACAATTAGAAGGAAGATGGGCCAGGTGCACTGGCTCCTGCCTGTAATCCTAGCATTTTGGGAGGCCGAGGCGGGTGGATCACCTGAGGTCAGGAGTTCGAGACCAGCATGGCCAATATGGTGAAACTTTGTCTCTACTAAAAATACAAAAAAATTAGCCAGGTGTGGTGGCGGCCACCTATAATTCCAGCTACTCCAGAGGCTGAGGCAGGACAATCGCTTGAACCTGGGAAGCAGAGGTTGAAGTGAGCTGAGATTGTGCCACTTCTCTACTCCAGCCTGGGTGAAAGAGTGAAACTCTGTCTCAAAAAACAAAACAGAACAAAAAAAGAAAAGGAAGGAAGATGGGCTGGATGCAGTGGCTCAAGGCCTGTAATCCCTGCATTTGAGGCAGGTGGATCATTTGAGGTTAGGAATTGGAGACCAGCATGGCCAACATAGCAAAACCCCGTGTCCACCAAAAATAGAAAAATTAGTTGTACCTGGTGGCACATTCCTGTAGTCCCAGCTCCTCAGGAGGCTGAGGCAGGAGAGTCACTTGAACCTGGGAGGTGCAGGTTGCACTGAGCTGAAATCGTGCCACCGCACTGTGGCCTGGGTAACAGAGCAAGACTCTGACAGAAAGGAAAATAAAAGAAAAGAAAAAAGAAAAGAAAAGAAAAAGGGAAGAAAAGAGAAGAAAAGAACAGGAGAGGAGAGGAGAGAAGAGGAGCGAGGCAAGATGGAGCCATCAGGCTGCAGCCAACTGATGACACTGGATGTGGTGTTTATTAATCTACTTGTAAAGGCTGGGCTACAAGAAGTCTTAGGAGGACTCCTTTGCAACAGGGTCACCTCACCCCCTCCAACTCCTACAAATGAGCCCATCCAGAAAGCTGTCTCTGGAGCATGTGCCTGTTTCCATCTTTTGCACAGTTTCAGGCCATGTGTAAGGATGGGAGAAGCTTGCCTGGCCTCCAACCTGGATGCCAGTCAGGTATGTGGACTTTCAAGTATGAAAGCTGTCAGGTCTGGCCTCAGGTGAGCCCAACCTATGCACTTGGCAGTGACTCAGATTCCCTGGGACTGTGACCTGCTATTGTTCGCCTGCTGTGACTTTCCTCTTCAGCAGAGGAATCTAAACTCTAATAGTCTCTGCCCCAGTTGTCCCCACTTTCCTCCACTGCCCAGCACTTCAGTAACAAGACCGAAAAGCGGTGGGTAGATGTGCACACCTGGTACCTCCAGGTCTGCAGGCTGCTTCTGCCACTCCTGCATGCAGTGGCTGTCAACCACTCCCAAAAACACAAGGGACTCAGTACTGAGGCATAGAGGTGGGAATACAGACCAAGGGTACCTGAATAATCCAGCACTGCTCTGACCTGGAATTGTTCAGAATGTCATACAGCAAGGAAGATGGGATGGAAACCTAATTATTTCACAACTGAATGCTTCTGTTCATTCACGAAAAGGAACAGTGCATGTTAGCGCCTCATGAAATGTCAGTATCTAGCTCCAGGATGCTTTGTCCAGGGCATTCAGCATGGAGCTATTTAAGGCTCAAAAATATAATATATGTGGGAGGTTAGCAGAGTGAAGAGGAGCTATGAATCTGTGAGTTATGGAACAGGGAAGTGGGCTTTGGGATTGGGTGGATCTGTTCTGCATCCAGACTCTGCTGCTTTGTAGATGGGTAGGTAGGGTGGATTATACCACCTTCCTGATATCAACCCCTCATGCATCCAGTGGGGGAGAGAAGCACCTGCCCTGCAAGATGCAATCAGGACATGAAAAGTGTTAGAATAATATGCGCAATGGTAATACAGTAGTTAGCACTGCCTGGAAGATTACTAAGAAGCAGCCACTCTGCTGGATGTTTTATAAGTTTTATATCACATTTGATATTCTAACCTACCTGGTATGTTTCAGTTAATGGTATACAATGTTAGGGCTATGATACAGAGACTTATGAAAGTGTTAGAGGGCACTGCTTGTATTAAGTCTATGGATAAGTTGCTACTGCTTTCCAGAAACCTGACTCTTAACACCATTTTGCAGGGAGCGGAGGTTTTGGACAGCAGTTAATGAAGCATATCCATATTATCCAAAGGCATTTTATCTATGAAGTAGGACCAGAAAAAACTGAAAGTGCATCATGAAATGCCTTGTGTAAACTATAGAATAGCATAATTTTTGTGCATTCTCTAAGCTTATAGGGCCTTAGGATTCTGATCAGCCATATTTGGATGACTTGTGAAACAGCTCATTGCTCTCCAACCCCAGGAGTTTTGATTCTATGAGTGTGAAACACCAGAATTTGCATGTTTCAAAAGCTTCCAGGTGAAGCTGATATCACTGGTTGTAGTACCACACTTTGAAAGCCACTGCTTCAGTAGGTCGTGCTGTCAGACTTCTCTCTGGTGCCTTTCTCTGCTTGATAAGAGGTGCTAAGTTCTAGCTTTGGAACTGTCCATTCTCCATCTCCCAGCTTGAACATTCTTTGAGCAGCTTTCTCTCTCTCTGTCTCTCTCTCTCTCTCTCTCTCTGTGTGTGTGTGTGTGTGTGTGTGTGATGGGGTCTCGCTCTGTCGCCCAGGCTGGAGTGCAGTGGTGTGATCTCACCTCACTACAACCTCCACTGCCTGAGTTCACACCATTCTCTTGCCTCATCCTCCCAAGTAGAAGGGACTGCAGGCACCTGCCACAATGCCCGGCTAATTTTTTGTATTTTTAGTAGAGATGGGGTTTCACTGTGTTAGCCAGGATGGTCTCGATCTCCTGACCTCATGATCTGCCCTCCTCCGCCTCCCAAAGTGCTGAGATTACAGGTGTGAGCCACCACGCCCAGCCCAAGCAGCCCTTTTTGATTCAGGTTACGTACAGTTGATTAAGTGTGAGCTTACTAAGTAGAAGTCAGTAGTGGTGTCCTCAGCAGGCTCACTTAGAATCAGTAGACTCATTTGTCAAATGAAGGGGCTGGAGTCACAATCTGGCTGCCATCTCTTGAAACATGAGTTTGATTCCAACTTATTGATGGATGAAAAAGCCTTTATCAGTTCCTCTGAACGTAAGTGTTCAGGGAATGTAGGTTTAAGATGAAGAACCCTTCTCCTGGGAGAGAATGGATCATTAGTAATCAAGGTCTAGGTATGAAACAAAGGTCAGTAGCATAAAGCTGAAGGTCTCAGCAGGGGTGCAACATTTTTATGAGTTGATTGGTTACACTTAGGGAGACTTGTGTGCTTTGCCAAATCACCTCATCATGACTGTGTGGTTTTTCCATGCTTATTCAAGCAATTTGTTTTAATGAAAACCAGACTACATGAGTCTAAACAGTTTACATTATGTATAACAAATACCTTCTTAGGATGTACTTACATGCTCTAAGTTTGACATACTTTATGAAAGCAAAAAACATTGTCAGTGAGATGGACATATGGGTTGTTAACAAAACACCATGTTCTCACATTTGGTGGGAGGTGGCAAGGAGGCCAAAGTGAAAAAATAAACATTGATAGTGATTTGAAGCAATTTGGGAAAAAACATACATGAACATATTAAGGCAGAGATTCTTCATTGGGTTGCATGTTGAAGTGTGGTTGAAACAACATAGTATTTGTCCTATGGCTTTAATTTATTTTCACCAGTTTCTGGATTAATAATGTACCCCTAAATCCATATGTTGATGTCCTTATTCCCAGTACCTCAGAAAGTGCCCTTAATTGGACATAAGGTTATTGAAAATGTTATTAGTTAAGAGGAGCCATTCTGGAGGAGGGTGGACCCCTAATCCAATATGTCAGGTGTCCTTATAGAAAGGGAAACTTTTAACACAGACATCCAGAGATGTGAGGACATGGATGTGAAGGTTGGAATGCTGCCACAAGGCAAAGAACTATCAGAAGTTCAAAGAAAATAATGGAGCCCATCTTCCCTTAGGGCCTTTCAGAAACAGCATGGTCTTGCTATACTTTGGTATTGTAAGTCAGAGACATTTATTGTCTCCAGAACCGAGAGACAATAAGTTTTTGCTGTTTCAGCCCTCTGGGTTGTGGTACTTTGCCATGGCAGCCGTAGGAAATTGAAACTGAATTTGAAATTATATTAAAAATAGCACTTAAAAGTATTGGATTTTCATTTTCTCCAAGTAGGGTTTTGATATGTGAATCTAATTTAGTGTAACCCTGCATTAAACAACTGTATGGAGTCTATGCTTTACATGGATATTACGCCTTTGCAAAGACTTGAAACAACCATATGTTGTAGAAATTAATTAGGCGGCTCTTATTTATAAGCAACTAGAAGCCACTTTATTTATTGCTACATGAAAACTTACTGCGAGATTTTAGAATTCTGACTTCTCCATGGCTAATCCCTTGATTAATTGGGATTAATCAACCTCTAGGTGGGACCCCAGATCTCTCTGAGACCTTATTCTACGTTATAGAAAATCACTCATTGTGTTCAAAGCATTCACATCAATGAACTTGGCATCTTGACAGTTAGACTATAGCCTTGACCTTGAATGGTCTTCTTCACAGACATCTCTGAGATTATCTTATAAAGACTTTATTCTTCTCATTTGAGAAAAGAAGATACTAATTTTTCTGAGAACTTGCCACCATGATGGATGAGTAGTAGCCTGACATGTGAAACAAAACCTTTGACTTTAAGTAAGTTGTACTTACTATTGAAATATTCTTTTTATTTGAACCAGTAATGTTCTGTACATTTTTATACTTCCTGAGCCCTAGTTGACTCATCTACAAAGGGTGACTGTTGAATTTGAATTGCTATTAACTTGTAATTCTCAGGATGTCAAATTTTCCTCTGACTCTTGTCTTGACACTATTGCAGATGGCTTTCATATGTTATTCAAATACATGACCACCAAGTTGATGATTCCAGAGAGAGTCAGATGTGGTAATTTTGAGGTTTGGTGATATCTTTGGACACTTAGATTTCTCCTCCAATCACATTCTTTCTTTTCTCCTCACACATTAGTGGGACATCTAAGTTCCCCACTACATGCTCATTTCCATGATGTAA